AGATGACTACATCAGGTAGATTGGGGGTGTGGCCAGGGGCGGGGCTATGGCAGCCGGGTTCTCTCCCGAGATGACTACATCAGGTAGGCCAGGGGCTTAGGGTGCCATTAATGCCATTGCTCAACATTTCTATGTGTGACTTTCACTACATTCATAAAGGAGTGTGCTCGGTTTGAATAGGTCTGTTCTGTGGGGACGATGTTACAACTCTCATTTACGCATATCATCCTGACAGAATCATACATTTTGAGAGAGATGCTTTGTATATCTGGTGCCATTTTATTATACGGTTTACTAAAGTAAGTTTAGTATGGGGGGAATTAAAATTCAGACTTCAAAGGCTTCTTAAAAAGTTATAGATAGGAGTAAGGGTTTTGCCAACTGTAGGCTAATGACTGTAATAAATGTAGGCTAGTGCTGAGTTGGTCTAATGGTGAATCCTGTAAAGAGTGGGCTGTCTAATTTCAGTAATCCCCTACTCCATCCCACTACCTTATAGGAACATGAAGTAATGGAAGAGCAGGAGCAGGAATTACATGGATTTTTTTTTGGGGGGGGTGATACTCCAGGATATTCAAAGCCATAAATGTAGAGGGGGGGGGCAAGTCATTGCAATCTGTAATCATTGTGTCTGTTCTGGGTGTAAAATGTGCTTTGTCTCAATGTCACAATGGTGCCAGACATATATTTGTAAACAATAAATCCGAAACTCAGTCATTCCTGCTCTGTTCTGTTGTGCTGTCTGTGGCCCTCAGCTTCTCTCCTGGGGGGGGGATGCTGGATACGCCGTCACATGTGCATGGGCCATGTTTAAGCCTCTCCGCCATGAGTACATGCGTGACACGGTTAATGGAAAGGGCAGCGTTCTGTCGCTGTGCTGCACACCACGAACACGGGGGTTTGATGAAAGGACAGGACATTAATTAGGGGGAGCAGAGCGCCTCTCCCAGCGTCTCTTATCAAATTACTATTTGGATTAAGATCAGAAATTCATTACCGTGAGCAGCCAGAAGCTGGGGCAGCGATAGGGGGAAGTCGGGGGGGGGGGGGGGGGGGGGGGGGGGGGGGGGGTGGGGGGGGGGGGGGGGGGGGGATGCTTGGATAGCCAAACCCGTCTGGCCTGTGCCAGTCTTAAGTGGGTGTCATCGTGGCCTCAACTGCATCTCTTGCCTTTTAAGTCTCTGTCAGATTTAACACTTCGATATTTCAGGTGGACAGAGACTGCAAAGTGCAGCAGGTCTCTGTGCGAAGCTGACTGATAAACAAAGCTGACTTCCACATTCGTACTGGCCTCACCAGGTCACATGACACTCGTGGTTCTGTGGGCTCCTTCTCAAACCCTCAACCGAATGTCAAGCCAGTCTGAATGGTCTCCCAGACCTGTAGACCTTTTGGCATCTGCTGCATTTAATTGTTGGGTATGGTTGCCGATTTGGGTGACTTGGTAGCTGGACGTGCTTGCTGGCAGCCAGGGCTCGCAGACTGACAGACCTTGTTTCCTGTCATGCCGTCAGGCTATTCGGACACAGCGGGGCTTGCAGCGCCTGTGGGCTATCCATCCCTGCCAGCGAGATGGTGATGAGAGCCCAGGGCAGCGTGTATCACCTGAAGGTGAGTCTGCTACCTTTCCAGCAGGAGGGCGGCGATAGAGAGCCAGTTTTTTTTTTTTTTCCCATTCACTACAGATTAGTCTGACATTACCTTGGGGAATAGTTGGGAAATGAGCTTGAAAACTGCAGGTTTTCATCCGTTCTGCTAACGCTTGGTTTTCCTTGCCCGCCTGCCCACCCGTGCAGTGCTTCACCTGCGCCACCTGTAGGAACCGGCTGGTGCCGGGCGACCGTTTTCACTACGTCAACGGCACAATCTTCTGCGAGCAGGACCGGCCCAGCGGCACGTTGCTCAGCAGTCACCTGACCCCACTGCCTGACCAGAAGGTGAGGGGGGGGGGGGGGGGGGGGGGAACTAATGAAATGTAGGGAGGAAAAAAGTCTCTGCCCGAGCTGTTTGCGCAGACCCTAAAATGAATGGTGTTCCTTGTGAAGCGTTGCAGCTGTCTGGATTGGGTCTGCTTGTGTTATGCCAGCAAGCTTATGTTAGGATGAAGAGACGGACGCAAGGCTAGGTGGTCTGTATAAAACTAGATTCCAAATGTCTGCCATGAATGCGATGAATGAGTTACTGTGCGGGGCTGAGCGGAATGTCTACGGGCGGCTCGGCGCTTCACTGACTGGATGTGTCGCCTATTGCTCGCTCTTTAAACTTCCTTCAAACGAGGACATTGGTTGGGCTTCTGGGTGAGTGGTAATTACTGCGAATCGCAGTCCGTGCAGTGCTGCAAGTGTGGGTACAGGGTCACCCCCGTCCATTCGCGTTGTAATGTCTGCTGGGTGAATAGGGGAAGCGCTGTCCCCGTTTTGGTGGCCTTAGTTTTCAGGGTGTGCTTTAAAAAAAAAGGGTCACGGAAAAGAAAGTGAATCCCTACTGAATTTAATGCCAGGTGTGTCTGCCACTGAAACCCACAGATGCGTGTCAGTACCTCTCAGTATGTGTATGTTATACTGGCTGTTTTAGTGGGACTGATTTTACAGAGATGTCCTTTTGTTTAAAACTGGGGGAACCCAAACGAAATCCTTTATCAGCTGTGATGGTGATCTTGTATCGGTATATTCGAACCTTACTGAGCACCTTTTGTTTGTCCAGCAAAAAATTAAATGTTATACCAGTTCGGTCCATTGACTACCGGAGGGACTTGTGAATGTATAATGTCGTGGTTTGCAATGGGAGGGTGAGTTTTAAAGATACTCAGATCTGTTTTGGTCACTAGTTCACGTGTCATTTTTGGAAACCTATGACATGGTCGAACAGTATTCATCTTCCTGGACGTTGGTGCTTGAAGTAATTAAGGCCATGTTTGTTGTTGGTTTTACTGTTATCGATCTTTTTTTGCAATGGGTTTGCATACAAGTGATAAGAACGGAATAAATGTAAAGGAATGAGATGTTAATGGACTGAGATCTTTCAGGATCATCCTGCGTCCTCATACACTGGTATGTGGTTTAACCAAAAGCTATGTGTGTGGTTTTTTTTTCCCCCCAGAATATTCAAGCAGCTGCAGTCAAATGTGAGTTATAGTACGTCAAAATAATATATGACTCTATTAAGAGTCGAGCAGAGTTGCAAGCTTTAGCGGAGCAGCTGTAGGGGCTTTAGTGTCTGCGAGACCAGCGGCTCGTTTTTGTTTTCGGTAGAAAGAGGCTTTACTTTTAAGCCGGAGAATGTGCCGTCAGGATTTTGGTGCATCGTGCTCCTCCGGGCTGTTTGTAAAGAGACGACTCCTGCATGAGGCCTGTCTCTGTAGTTATGAGGAGAGTTTAGGTGGAATGGGGATGTGTGTGTTTATATTACATTGCAGGGACCAAATGTCCCTCAAAATGTAGTTAAAACCCAGTTACTTTGATGTTGTGGGTCCCCATAAAAATCTGTCACTGCAATCTAAAAATGCCAAAAGTCTTGTATTTTGTTTGGTTATTTATGGTTAAGGTTAGGGCTGGGTAGGACTTAAGGTTGTCGTTGGGATTAGAGTTTTCCCCATAGAAATTAATGGAGAGTCCCCACTAAGAAACAATTACAAACGTGTGTGTGTGTGTGTGTGTGTGTTCGTGTTCCCCTCCTTGAATTTTATTGATGAAGCAGGATGGTGGGAGTGATGGTTCCCCAACACTATTTCACAGGCTGAAGAATCCAAGTTATTAGATTGCAGCCTGTTGCAAAGGGGTGAAAGGTGACCCAGCTGCTTAATGAAAAGGGGGAGTGTAAGAGAAGATCAACTGTATCGATCCCAAGGGGAAATTCTTAATTCCAGAAGATGGGCTCCTGTCTGAAATGCTGAAAGGCTAATTTTAGTATTGAATTAATAGGGTAAATAACATCCATCGTGACTTAACATTCTTACCTTCTCCGATCTCAGAAATGCTTAAATTTCA